TTTCTAGGCATAAATGACAATCCAACAATACAAATCTAACACCAGCCACCCTGGGGAGGAAGCCAATTTCTGCCGGTCACTACCCACAGCTCGTGAGTATAGGGACGTAGATCGACCGGCAAATTGAAAGCTTTGCTTTTACACTCAGCTGTCTCTTCACCACAATGGACCGGTACAGCTGTCCGCATCACTGCAGCCGCAGCACCAATCAGTCTGTCAATCTCCCATCACTCGTGAACAAGACCCCGAGATACTTAAACTCCTCCACTTGGGGCAGGAACTCGTCCCTGACCCGGAGTGGGCACTCCACGATGTGCTTAGGGTAAACCTGTCCTCACCTCTGAAAAAGGCTCCAGTGTTGGACCTGCCTTTTTTTTTCTTTTTTCTTTTTTTTTAAATATCTTGCTGCATTTTGTATAAGTTCATACTAAAGTTTAAAAACAAACAAACACTAAAGCTATTCTGTTATACCTGTATGCAAAAAAAGTACACTGCACCCAAAATATTTCATAGTTCAGCAATACTGATCAATCTAATAAACTTAAACCTACTCCATCCTCCCTATTCTGGTATTTTAAAGAGTAAGCAACCTAACTAATAGGGTTGCAAACTCTCAGCAACAAGGAATAAAATAGGGACCCCCCACCTCATGATGCTTAATCGACGTAATCAACTTTGATTTCTGTGCATTTCTTTTTCACCCTGCATCAAATTAATTATTTTTCAATAGATTCAACATCTTTCTTCAAAAGAACTGCAGACTGCACAGATGGTACCTTCCCAAAGGAAAAAGTACTAGCTTACTAGGGTATATTAGACTTAATAGTTATGAAATACAGTGATGGACTTCTATACATTTTACAGATTGAAGTAGCAACAGGAGAGAAGAGGCAGTCGTCCATATATCGGTTGTTAAGCTTAAAGCTGGAATGCTTTACAAACATTCAGAGATGAACTTACACACTTGCTTGACTTCTCTCTGGGATAACTTTCTCGGAGATAAAATGCTGGTTTGGTAGAGAGGCTCCAAATGCTCAACCAGACCAACGGGTCACAGACGCTCTATTACGTGACGCATACTGCTCCGACGTGCTACAGTTATGAGCAGAGTTATGCCATGTCGCAAGTTTTGTGAGCTGCTTTTGTGATATTTAATGGATCGATTACATTTTTTTTTATTTCTCTCCGATATTCGATCCACTAATTTAGGTCAGTATCGGACCGATACCTATACGTAATATCAGATCAGTCCATCTCTACAAGATACTAACCCTGACTTGCTCTCTGATGCGTCCATCAGAGTATGAATGCATATGAGTGATAGTTAGAAAGCACAAAGTATAGATAATAGTGAATGTGTGTGTATGGGGTGAATGTAGTGCATTGTATCCAGCCTCCATACGTAGGACATTCTGCCTTCACTTTAATACAATGGAAGGAATTGAGCCCATCGTCAATCTTTTATACAATAATTTTCCAATCCTTGTGAAACTTTCCCAAAGATGCTCATTGACAATCTTGTAAAAACTGCAGTCACCCCTGTTGCTGTACACATTTTCTCTTTTAGTCTGTTAATATGCTTTGATACTCTGAGCAGCCAGTCTTTTCAGCAATGAACTCCTGTGGCATACCCTCCTTGTGTACAGTGTTGGATGTTTGTGGTCCAATCCCTGGTCATTCCAGTCTGCATGCCAAATATCATTGGGCAAGATACTAACGCCAAGTTGCTCTCTGATGCATCCATTGAAGTATGAATATTAGATAGGAGGTTAAGCGTAGAAAAGAGTGCTTGTATGAACGGGCGTGAATGAGGGATGTTTCATAAAGGTCTTTGAGCACTTATATATAGTAGAAAAGCGCTATCATTTACCATTCTTTCAAAAGCAACTTACTCAAATGTAAAATGAAATATTCTAATACTAGAATACTGGACATCTGATTTTTATGAGCTACAGGCTATAACAAAGCTTCACAAAAAGCTTTAAATATTTCACATAAAATATTAACTAGAAAAAATAAATTGTAAAAATATACAGTATATGGTACAGATGTTTAAACCAACATAATAGCAAAAGATGTAATTTGACATGCCAAGAAGCTGTAGACCTGAAACAGCCACTTTTATGGCATGATTCTACTCAAATTATGTTCACAGATAAGGTTATGTTTTAGTCACGTTATGTTTAGTCATGTTATATAAAATGTACTTGTGATTAAATAGCTAAAACATACTGTTGTAATTGCTAACTTGCAATAAGAAGAGTTGACCATACAGTCCATACAGTTGCTGTAGCTAAAGTTACTGTATGTTGCATATCAAGTCATGGA